AGATATTTTGTAGTTTTATCAACTGTACTAGGGAGAAATGTTCACCTGTTGAAATATCCATTTTGTAAGCCAAATAATTATGTGATTGAATGTATAAAAGAAAATGAAATGAAAAAATTTTTAAAAACCCAAGTTTCCATTGAGTAATCCTATTAAAAAAAGTGTATTTTTAAAAAGAATTATTTAACTTTATTTATTTTACTTATTTAATTTGACCAGAGAGGGACAAAGTAGAGTTGGGAGTGAGAAAGCAAGGCACCAGGTCTGGGATTTGTACTGTGGTCGGCCATGTGTGAGTCCAGTGTCATTAACTACCACACCACCTGCCAGCCCTGAAAGCTTAATTTTTTTAAAAGTTATTTTATTTCTTTCATGAACAAGAGAGAGAGAGAGAGAGACCACACTCTCAACAGGGACTTGATGTTGTAATTCACCCCCCAGCTTTAGCCAGTGCCAGATCATGGGTACGCATATGCCCCATGTACTCCGGGAGTTCTCTAGACACAAACCAGGAACCTTCCCATGTGGGTCAACCTCAGAGACCATTCTGCACACTCTTAACACTGCACCACCACCTGGCACCAAAAGTAGATTTTTCAATGACATTAAATAAAAAGCTAGTAAGATGTTATTAACACCTAAGAATGAACCGAGTGGGCCCAGCCAGTGGTGGTTAAGGTGCTAGACTCCCACATGACCAGCAGCATGGTTCAAGTACCAAACCAGGTGGCTTAAAACTAACACCAGGCACCTAATCTAACTAATCCCAAGAAGATCATGGAGAAGTAACTGCAGAGTAGCCCTTCTCCTGGGGAGGGAAGGTGACTTCCCACTTGTCCTCTCTGTCTGTCTTTCCTAGGCAAGTGTATGCACCCTACGGCAAAAACCGAGAAAAAAGAAAAAAAAGAATGAACCAAGCAATGGCATAGAGATGAAAAGTACAATTAAATAAAAATTTCAATGAAAGTGTCTTTGATAGGAAAAACAAAAATGTGCAAGCTTAACAAATACTACACTGTTGGGCCAGTCGGTAGCATGGTGGTTAAGGTAGCTGGATTCCACATGGCCAACTGCACTGTTAACAGTGCTAACCTGGAGGTTTGAAAAACATATTGGAACATGTGCATGTGTGCCCAAAATCCCAGGAGGAGGAAGAAATGGAGCAGAAGGGGCAGTGGAGTGACCATCCCCATAGGGGTTGCTTTCTTAGTTTCTTTACTTCCCTCCATTCTCCTTCCTCCTTCTTTCCCCATCTGGCAAAATAAGCAAATCAAAACAAACAAAAGTTATACCGTCACCTGGTGTACAGGTCCTGGTTTTTTTTTTGTTTTTTGGGGGTTTTTTTGAGAGATTTTTGTTATAGGACATATGCACTCGCCAAAGACAAAGAAGGCAAAAAATCACTCCCCTCTCCCCGCAGGGATGACCATGCCACGATCCCTTCTCCTCCATTCTCCACCTCCTCCATTCTCCACTTGGGATTTTGGGCACACATGCACACACACCCAGCACGAGTTTTAAGCAGTTGGGTCTTGGACTTGAACTGCCATCAGCCATGTGAGGGTACAGCACCTTAACCACTATGCCACCTGTGGACACCAGGCCTTGTTTTAATAACAGCTTTTGACTTAAATGTGAAAATTAACTTCCCGTTTCTATTACTGTCCTCTTAAGCATGGCTACATTAAAGGTATAAATTATTACTACTAATGTCTAGTTACAATCAAAGAATTTTAGTCAGTTCTACATGGCAGCAGCAATACATTGCTCAGAAGACATTAGATCCCTCGTGGCACCTGCAGTTTGAATCCCTGACCATTTAAAGACATTTATTTGCCATTTTCTTCCTGTTTTTTTTTTTTGACGTGAGAAGCAGTAAGTATGTTTTTCTTTTCTTTTCTTTTTTTTTTTTTTTTGAGAGGTTTTCACTATAGGGCACGTGCGCGCGCCAGACAGACAGAGAGAGACATAGAAACAGAAAGCGAGAAATCACCCCCCGGGGGGATGGCTACGCCGCAATCCCTTCTCATCCATTCTCCTCTCGGGATCTTGGGCACGCACACACACGCGTGAGTCCCAAGCCACCAGGTCCAGGACGCGAACCTCAGTCGACTACGTGGAAGTCCAGCAACATGGCCATTACGCTAACTGCTGGTTCCCGTCACTTCTTTTTTTAAACAAAAATTATTTTATTTATTATTTTTATTATTTTTAATCTGATCAGAGACAGACAGAGAGAGGGAAAGTGAAAAAAACAAGCCACCAAGTCTGGGAGTCTAGTACCTTAACCACCACACCACCTGCTGGCACCGATATGTTACTTCTTTAATTCTAAATACTTCAGGGTTTATTTCCTAAATAAATATCATGTATAAAAACAGCACAATTATCAAAACCAGGAAGTAACATTGATACATACTATTCTCTATAGGCTTTATTCAAGTTTCTCCAATTATCCCACTAATGTCCTTTATTAAAAATGAAAAATTTGGGGACTAGCAAATGGTGTAATGGTTACATTACTAGACTCCCACATAGTTAACTGTGGTTCAAGTCCCCAACCCGGCAGCTTAAAACTCACACCAAGGCGTGTGTGCATGTGTGCCCAAAATCCCGAGAGGAGAATGGAGAAGGGATTGCAGCAAGGCCATCCCCCTGGGGAGTGATTTCTTGCTTTCTGTCTATCTCTCTCTGTCTCTCAGGCAAGCACATATGCCCTATAGCAGACATCTCCCTTAAAAAAAAAATAAGGTGGAATCCAGTCAGGTGGTATGGTGGTTAAAGCAGCTGGATCCCACATGGTTAAGTGTACAGTTGAAGTCTTGGACCCAGAAGCTTGAAAAACACATTGGCCTGAGTGTGTGCATGCCCAAAATCCCAAGAATAGAGTTGAAGAGAAGTGACTGAGGCATAGTCATCCCTTCTAGGGGGTGCTTTCTCACTTCTCTTTCTCTCCCCCCTCAGCAAGTGCATGCACTCTATAATAAACTAAAAAAAAAAAAAAAAAAAAAGAAGGAAAAGTTTTTTTGTTTAAGGTCCACTGAAGGATTATAGGTTTCATTTAGTAAATATTATGTGTCATAGTCACAACTCTTAATTTGTAAGTTTTAAGTTTTTTCTTTAATTTTTAGCAGTTCTTTGATATTTCTTTGTCTCTCAGTATTAACACTTTGGAAGAGTACAGGTCATGTGCTTTGTAGAATGTCCACACAATTTAGTTTGTATGATATTTCCTCATGATTCACTGTGCATTCTTGGCAGGGATGCAAATGCATCAAGTCCAAGTCAAGGGGCCTACTAGACCTATTTTCCCAATATTCCAAAGTCACTTGGATTGCTCCAGTATTAAGATGGTCTACCAGTTGCCTCCATAATAAAGCTATTTTTCCTTTGTAATTAATAAATATCCTGCAGGAAGATTCTATAAGACTGTGCACACATCCTGTTTCTTTACTAAACGTCCCCATAAACTACTATCTTTACTTAGGTAATCATAAGAAAATGTTTCTGCTCATAAATAATATTTTGGAATTTTGTTATTTTCCCTAAGTAAGGCTGCTACACTGAAAATACCGTTTATCCACTTGCGAGAGAGATAGAAAGCAAGGAATCACCCCCCAGGGAGGATGACTGCTGCAATCCCTTCTCTTAGAAGCTTGGCCATACACGCACATGCAGCCAGCATGAGTTTCAATCTACTAGGTCTGTGACTCAAACTGCAGTCAACTACATGGGAGACCAGCACCCCAACCAATATACCACCTGCTGGTCCATATAGTTTGGTTTTAACTAAATACCCTCAATCTTTTAAAGTTAATATGTTTACAGAATTGCATACTGAGATTAGGTATTACTTCTTTCATAAGAAATTAATT